TTTGCTTAACTGCAAGTAATTAATCCCCTCCCCTCCCCTCCCCTCCCCCCGAACGTCAAACTGGCAGGTTTCCAAATGAAGACTATACCGCAGAAAAAGTTTGGGGCCCAAAAGAGAGTCAGCCAAGTACACGTTTGGGGAACACGTTTGAACACGTCATGATGGACATTTACAGGTGTAGGACCAGAACAGAGCCTCTGGTAAACAGTTTAGAACCAAGGGACCGAACTTGATTTGAGGACCAGAAGAGAGGCTTTACAGACGCCTAGCAATTTTCACAGACACATTCTTATGTGTGAAATTTTCCCACTGTGTTGTCAATTGACAAGCAGTGTCGAACTTAGACAACCTGGACATCAAAATCAGTCGTCGGTCTTCACGGCCAGTAGTTTTTCTTGTACGACCCATCAGAGGCAATCTGTCTCTTGATCCAGTGTTTCTATACCGAGCACGGTTCTGACTAAACATTTCAATTGTATCGATATACTGACATTGCTTATATTCCGCCTCTTCAGGTTAATAACTCGCACCTATAACCGTTAGATAATTGCCTGTATCTTGCCATATTGGAGGGAGACAGGAATAACATTTACTGTACATGTACAAGACCAACAATACAATCCCATGGTACAGCGGTTTTATACTCATTAGTCACATTATAAGTAGACCAGGCATTATAAGTACCCAAGATCTGCCTACTTTTATTACTCTGAGTTAGGGGGTGACACTTCTTTTGTCCAGTGTGTGTATATCGTGCTAGTCAAGTGCGTCGTCTTAGTGTGATGCACTTCACAAGTACGGTAGTAGTACTCAAAACACACCTTGGAAGTAAGATAAACGCACGGAGGAAGTTCGCTAACCCCCCCCCTTTTATTTATTTATTTTTTTTTTTGTTAACACGTACATTGAAAGCAAGTTGAACGTACGAGTCTTTTGCGTGGTTAGTACGTTGTCTTCGTGGTAAAATACCCCGGAATTTCTGCATGCCTTTCATGCGTTACACGCACGCCTAGCGCACTTACTCAGTACTTTTGCCTTGCGTGCTACGAGCGTGCTCCAGGCGTTCTAATTGTCGGAGACAGGTCGTAGCGAAAAACTGGCCGGCCAGTTTTCGGGCTGCGTACTTTGCGTCGTGTTTACGTCCACCAAAAAAGTACGTTCCACGTGCGCGTATCTTAATACTTGGCCAATTTCTTTTTGCACGCAAACCGCTCGTAGAAGCGGTTGTAAGAGTAGCTTAATCAAAAGCAGTGCGGGAGTGCGTCACCCGCCTTCAACGCCCTCCACTGCACCCACAACTCGCAGAGAAGGTCCCACCCTGAAACCCGTGCGCCCGGTTGTCACCGAGGCCTTGAAGTAAAACACAAAATGAAACAATAAAAAAGAAAAACAGAAGAAGAAAATATAATCAATTGTAAAAAATATGACCTTGCTGGGAATGATCGAGCAAAAGCCACCCTACAGAATGGCATATCTTTTTTACTTGAAGGAAAACAATACTGGGTTAAAAAAACAATGATAACACAGTCATCATTGCATACTTATATGAAAATGCTACAGCTAATCTTAATAATAAATTGTGCCAGTGAAACGAAACTTAGTGTCCGTGAAACAGAAAGACCGCCCTCTATTTAGGTATGATAGCTCGGGTTAAATTGACCTGAGTGGTTCCAGGTCTAGGGTAAGGATTACATGTACAAATGAATGGCATATGGAAGCAGACTCTATCATGGAGGACTCCCTCTCACAAGATCCTACTAGTACATGTCATATACGCTGACGATACTTTGCTGTATACTCCCGGTTACATCAAGAATCGTGGCATTTCCTTTTCCTTGTTATGAAAAATTGTATTCCGATCGCAGGGCTTGGATCGTAAAGAACAAATTAATGATACATATAGAGACAACAACATGGAATTATTGATGATCACACTGCCTCGACGCATATCACACACCGGCAAAGTACATTTGATGGAAATGCTATCAAATAATAATAATAATAATAATGAAAAGGAACACCTAGACTACAGAAAACTGTGCGATTTCTATGTGAAGCTCCTACTATGGAAAACTGTGAAAGATCTTCACCCTAAAATCAAATCTATGTATGGTCTCCAACGTATTTTACATTTGAGCCAGGAAACCAGGCCCCATTATAAAAATGATCTACTGCGTGTCTTATGAAAAGAAGCGACAATGAAGCCTAGAGGTATAACATATAGTTATTTATAGAACCTGAATATGTTTTTATAGCAAAAATGTATTTATGAATGCATCCTTATGATCGATAGACATAATCTACAATGTAGTGAAATACAGAAACAGTACGTACCAAATACTTTCCGTTTACATCATAATTCCTATCACTCAGGAGTCGCTTCACCTCGCCAGTATCACCACGAAACACAGCGTCAATGAGATCCATGGTCCGATGGAGTAGTAGAAAGACGGTTCTGTAAGAAGATTTCACCAGAAAAGGATAGCTTTATGATATATGTGGCATTATTTTTTCATCTTGCGCATGAAACGTGGGTTTTACAGTTTTACACTAGAGTTTGTGCGTTAAATGAATTTTATGGATAATGCTCCCTTGCTATCTTTCATCCAGGGGCGGATACAGGATTACTTGATGGGTGGGTGGGTGGGTGGGGAGGTCCGCGGATGCAAAGCTGACCTCCCCCTACCCTAACCTTTGGCGTGGGGTTCCAAAAAATGGTACTGAACGCTGCCGTTTGGTAATGCCCCTATTTCACACAGACCACGAATCCCACGAATCGCCAGGAATTGACAATTTTCAGGATTCGTGATGATTCGTGAGATTTTACCAATTTTCTGGTCTATTTCGACACGCTCTACAATTCAGTTACGACACAGGTGCGATAGTGTTACGAATATTCGTGGGATTCGGCTGGAATCACACGAATATTGGCACATCTCATTAATGAGATTTTTCTGTGTGCTGATATCCATTTTTAAGGGGGGGGG